CCCGATCCGCCCTGCTCTGTGCATGACGGTGCGGCGCCCCAACTCCCCAATCGGCCCTGCTCTGAGCCCGACCAGGGGCTGCACCTAGGGATTGGGCCTGCCCTCTGCCACCCGGGAGCAGGCCTAAGCCAGCAGGTTGTTATCTCCCGAGGGGTCCCAGACTGCGAGAGGGCACAGGCCGGGCTGATGGACCCCCCCTCCCCCCCGAGTGCACAAATTTTTGTGCACCGGGCCTCTAGTCCTATATAATAATAGGTTAATATGCAAATCGTCCCCTTGACTGGGAGTTCAACCAGGGGGCGGGGCAGGGCCGGCCCACCAACTGACCGCGACACCTCCCCTTGGCCGGCCCCCCCAATTGCCCCCCTGACCCCGATCGGGGCGGGACAGCTGGACCCCACCTGTGCACGAATTCATACACCAGGCCTCTAGTAAATATATAAATGACAAACTATTAATAATAGTAAAATTAAAGTTTTAAGTTTATGCTCTAAATTTCATTTTATTATACTAAAATATACTCACCAGAATATAGGACTTTCACCAGGTTCTTTCACTTTGTAGTATTCTTTGTCTTGTGGCAAGACTTTGGTTAACCCAAAATCTCCAATTTTAACTCTGTTTTCATTCTCTACCAATATATTCCTTGTTGCCAGATCCCTGTGGATATACCTTTTTGTACCAAGATATTCCATACCCTATGGATAAAAATAACATTTTTTCTTTCAGCCAGTTTTGTAAACATAATCAATTTCAATGGTCTTGCCTATTTATAGTCCCTTAATTATCTAAGATAAACTAGAGAATTTCTTAACAATTACCTCAACACGTTCACTTCATCTACAACTAATAGCCAGAATATTAGGTACCTTGCATATTTGAGATGTATATTGCAGAAGTTTCTTATGATCTATTCGTTCTTTATGCTTTTGGAGATAGTCTCGTAAACTTCCATATGGTAAATATTCCATAATTAATCTTAGATTACGCCGGCCTTTTAAAACACAAATGGGAACATAATGTTATGCTTTGCCATATTTTACTGATGAAATATTAAAAAACAACCATACATAAATGACTTAAAGATATATAAAATCTGAGTCTAAGATGACAGAATTTATTTGTAAATTAAAGGTGAAATAGTAAAGAACACAGGCTTTTTGAATCAAAAAGTTTTAAAAAGCTTTAAAATAGTTGTTTTAGTCTTCTGTAATGCAAATCAAAATAAGCTGAGAAAACTTCCTTCTCATTTTGTACTGAACAAAAAGCATCAAATTTAAATATTATATTTTTAAAGAAAATATGAGCAAAGACAATTTCTTTCTTTGAAAATGACATTTGCTTAATAAGCATAAGCAAGGGTGATAACAAACATTTTCAGTGAAGAGAATGATTAACCGACTAGTCAGAGATTTCCTGTAGTTACAGTCCACCATCACCAAGCAGTCTTCCGTCTTCTCTCTCTGGGCACTGTTATAAGTCCACATCTTGACACAGTATGTTTCTATTATGCAGGATGCCAACAACATAGCTTGAGTTCAAAATAGGTTTCAATGGCAACATACCAGCACTGTAGCACACTCCCTTGTACTTTACAATGTTGTCATGCTGCAGGGATTTAAGGATTTCAATTTCCCTTTCAAAGTCTCTGAGGTGCTCTTCAGTACTGTGCTGGAGCTTTTTCACAGCCACCACCTCCCCAGTGTTGTCTTGTAGAGGGTCATACCGGCACATCTCAACACTCCCAAAGTTACCCTGAACAATACAACACATCAGGACAGAAATCTCAAATTTTCCACACAAACACTAACAAATTCTAATTACATTAGCAATTCCAACAGTCAGAATTAACACACATCCCTAAGCTTAGATTAGGTAACTTTCAAGACAAAAAAGAAAATAGTAATTCCACAGGTGGGTAGTAAACATATATATTTAATTTATTCAAAAGGAATTAAAAGCTGAAATATAAACAACTTCCAAAAAGCTTTTAGACACAAATCATGAACATTAATTATTAAGACAACCCAAGGGACATGCTATCTATCACTATCTTCCAGGAAGAACTTCGCTTTTTCACAATACACCCTTTGGTATCACTGTCAGTGAGCTGGATGGAGTAAGGGTCTATTATGGACTGAACGTGTATGTCTCCCCAAAATTCATATGATAAAGCCCTAACCCCCCCAATGAATGTTTTTGGAGACTGGGCCTGTGAAGAGACGATAAAGGATAAATGGGGTCATAAGGGTGAGGCCTTAATCTGATAGAACTGGTGCCTTTAAAAGAAGAAGAAGAGCCCTGACCAGTGTGGCTCACTGCTTAGAGTGTCAGCCAAGCACCAAAGGGTAGAGGTTCAATTCCTGGTCAATGCCACGTACCTTGGTTGCAGGTCTGATCCCCAGCCCCAATTGGGGCATGTACGGGAGGCAACCAGTTGATGTATCTTTCACATAGATATTTCTCTCTCTTTCTCCTCCTCCCTCATTCCCTTTCACTCTCTCTAAAAATCAATGGAAAAAATCTCAGGTGAGGATTAACATAAAAAAAGAAGAAGAAGAAGAGGAAGAGACACTACAGCTCTCTGTCAATAAGGTGGCCAAATGAGGACCACTAAGAGAGCCCTCACCAGTAACCAAACCCTTTCAGAACCTTGATTTCAGACTTTCCAGCCTCTGGAACTATCAGAAATAAATATCTGATGGTAAAGCCACTATGGTATTTTATTATGTCAGCCTGAGCAGATTAGTACACAGTCTGTATTATTTGCTCAAGAAAGTAAATTTTTAGCCTAAGGGGATGTTCCCACTTTTTTGTTTTTAAGGTGAGTCATTAAAGAAACCTCTTCTCTTTTTATTAAGATTTATTATCTATACAGAGTTGATATATAACATTTACAATTAAGCTTTGGGTATTAATCAAAGAAATATATTTTGGATATTATTGCATTCTTAAAGAACAGAACAACATAGTGTTAAGCTAAAGTTTCTAAGAGACTATATTTTCAGCTATATTTTTGAAGTCAATTTTTAAAAAAACTTAGACCACATATAAGTTCAAAGTTAAATCTCTAATTACACAGGCCAGACAGCAGTGATGAGATGTCACTACTGAGATTAGGTTATAAAAAGACCATGGTTTCCACATTGGGTGTTTGCCCTCAGCTGCCATGTTGTGAGAATCCTATGGAGAGGCTTGTGTAAGTGAACATAGTCCAGTCAACATCTAGACTCTGAACAATCAGATTATTTCTTCCTCGGATGACTAAAAAAGGAAGTGAGTAGAAAGGCTTAATTTAGCCCTGGCTGGTGTGGCTCAGTTGGTTGAAGTGTCCTGTACATCAAAAGGTCACAGGTCCAATTCCCAGTCTGGACACGTACCTAGGTTGCACGTTCGTTGTTGTGGTGCGTATGAGAGGCAACCGATGGATGTTTGTCTCTCACATCAATATTTCTCTCTCTCTCTTCCCTTCTCTAAAATCAATAAACACATCTCAGTTGAAGATTTAAAAGAAGAAGAAGAAGAAGGGCTTAATTGTCCCTTTCTCTATTTCATTAATAAAGCACCCTCTACCAAGAAACAGTCCCATGGTCAAATCAATTGGGGAAATGTTACCTAATATTTGAAGAGGTTCAATGCATATTACATCTTAAAGATTCTGAAAAGTTCTTCTTAAAGATAACTGTTTAACACAGCACTTCTCCAACATCTGACAACTAAACTTTTCTCTACAAATACCCCTTAAAGTTTTATGAAATGTGAACTTTAGAGAATCTTTAAAGCCTTTTTTTCCTAAATAAAATGTTCTATGGCTATAATTTAACTATTTAAAAAACTTCTTTCATCTTACCTTGCCAAGTTGCTGCAGAAATTTCAAGTGTCTCTCTTCAAACTGAGTAGGGTCTCGGTCTTCAAAAGCTCCAGAAAACCCTAGGGCACCTATCCTCATATTTGGTAACATGTCATTCTCTGTTAACAATTCATAATCTGCAGAAATAAAGAATAATACACCATAATCTGGCAAATAAATTCTCTGGGTTAATATGTATTCAAGCTGACCAAAATAATTAGAATTTAGAAATACTAAACACAGGATAATGTTAATAGTTTAGATTATATTAATGGAACCTTTACTTATTACTCACAATCTGACAGGCTTTCAAGAAAGATTTTTACAAAGAATAAATAATTACTTTATAAAATTGGCAGTTTTTATATTTATAAAGAATATATTCTGATTTCTTTGTGAAATTAGTAATACCGGAAAAGGAAATACCTGTAGGTCAGACATATGCATATTTAGCTACATACTTTAAAGGAGTGGACAAAAACAAATCTACTTCATGTTTAGAAAATGAATTATAAAATGTATGAAAACTAGTTTTTAAAAAATAATTGTTTTTTAAAAACTCAAATAAGATAAACTTTTATAATATACTAGTCATCAAGTAGCAGACTAAAATTGGGTAAATGAAGGAGAAAAAGCCTTTTTTTAAATGTAAATATTGCTCAATCAAGGAGTCTAGAATATGTATAAAGTAGGAAAGTCATATGCCCATATGAGATTCTAAAAGACATCAAAGAACTTATTGAGAGGATTACAAAATTAGTAAAGATTTGTTAAATACAAAAAACCCACAAAAAAACAGAAAGATATCTGGAGAATCAATAATACATACCTGGAGTAAACAAACTATTAAGATCTCGTATGATGGCTCTGAAAGAAGGTCTAAAATCTGGTTCATAATCCATACAATTATTAATAAGATTTGCTAATTCTGTCCACTTTGGTGCAGGAAGCTGGTGTCTATCTTCATAAAACTGTAGCTTCTATAATTAAAGAACCACACATTGAGAATTGTGTAATGCCTTATCAATCCCTTCTTTTTAAAACCCCTTCTTTTTATATTAAAAAATATAAAATCGTGAAAGAATCATCAAGGATCACAAAATTAATCCAACCCCACAGTCTAGAACTTACTCTTTGAGAATCCAAAGCACTCAGAGGCTTATCTCCTCCACTGCAGATTTCCCACAAAGTGGTACCAAAACTCCATTTGTCTGTTGCCAAGTTTAAGTTTTTAGGATTTTCAATACATTCAGGTGGTACCCATGGTATTCTCTCCTGAAGAACTTTTAAGTGATAGGAACATAGTATGGTTAAATAGTTCTCACAAGTAAGTAATTCTTTTATATGCAAATCATTTTCAAACTGATTTGAATAATCATTTAATTCAAGATCTCATTTTTAACAATGACAACACTGAGATCTATAAAGACTGAATAATTTTCCCAAAATCACACAATTTTTTATTAGCACTAAGAGAATTAGAACTCTGTACAATAACTCCTGGATCAACTAAACTTTTTTCCATTAAGTCACCAATTTTAAGCCCATGTGCCGCAAGAATTTTTAAAACCTGCAATACCTGACTACTTAGTCAGGGGCAATGACCTCTTTTCCTTAAACTGTCAAATAAAAAAATTCCAACAGCCAACACAACAATAGACATCCAGTGTGAATGCAACAAAATGGATAAAATCTGCACTTCCATACATAATTAGGAATTAAAACTGTTTTTTTAAATTATGTATAAAATAGTAAAGAAAACAAAAATTATTTGACAAAGATATGAGAAGTACACATCTAAAGCACATCCCAGTATTTAGAGAAATGCAGTAGAGGACAAAGAAAGGACACATTAATTAATACCAAAGAGACAGAGGGTAAAACTGGCTAAGTCCTCCAAAAAATGTCAATTTAGATACATTGCACAACATCAAAATAAACTCCAGTTCAAAGAGCAGAACATGTAAACAAAAAACATAAAATTTTTAGAAAAAACATTTAGGTAAATATTTAATCTGTGGATTGGAAAGAATTTTCAAAGTATAAAAGCAATGGAAGAAATCATAAAAAATTATCAATAAATTTTCATATTTAAACAATCTTAAGGTTAAAAAAATTAAAAGGTAAATCAGGATGTAAAGAATTCAACCAAAATGAGAAAAGTTAACCAAATTGTTTCATGAATACACACTGATTGAAAAAAGTTCACTAAGACCTGCAGAGAAAAATGAACAAAAGATGTGCAGAAACAGTACAGTAAAAAACAAATACATGCCCACTGGTGTGGCTAAGTGGTTGAGCATTGACCTATGAACCAAGAGGTCATGGTTTGATTCCCAGTCAGGGCACATGCCTGGGTTGCAGGCTTGATCCCCACTGTGGGGTGTGCAGGAGGCAGCCGATCAATGGTTCTCTCTCATCATTGATGTTTCTCTCCCTCTGCCTCCCTTCTGAAATCAATAAAAATATATTTTAAAAATTAAAATAAATAAAATAGAAATATACAATTTATGAAAAATTGTTTAGTGTCATGAATAATCATAGAACAAAGCAAAATAATGAGGTGTGATTTTAATGTATTAAATTAAGAGTTCTCCAATGCTTGAAAGCCCTCTAGGTCACTGAGTACCACTTTTTCAGAGCGCTCCCTGATGGCTTGTATTGAAAGCCTAAAAAATGTTCCCATCTCTTGATCCAGTAATTGCACCGTAGTGATCTACTCTAAGGAAATATTCAGAAATATAGCTAAGGTTTTCACATAAATAAATATAAAAATAAAGAATGAATAAAATCTGACCTTTCATACATAATTAGGGATAGCCGGTTTTGCCCAGTGGATAGAGCATTGGCCCAGGGACTGAAGGGTTACAGGTTCGATTCCAGTCAAGGGTACATACTTCGGTTGCAGGCTCAATCCCTGGCCCAGTTGGGGCACATTGGGGAGGCAACCAATCAATGAGTCTCTCTCACATTAATGTTTATTCTCTGTCTATCCCCCTCCCTTCCACTCTCTCTAAAAGTTAATAGAAAAATATCTTTGGGTGAGGATTAACAACAAAATTATCTTTATCTGATGTATCATTCGCAAATATGTTCTTCCATATAATGAACTCCCTTTTTATTTTGTTGATGGTTTCTTTTGCCGTGCAAAAACTTTTTATTTTGATGTAGTCCCATTTGTTTATTTTCTCTTTTGTTTCTCTTACCCCAGGACAGTGATGGCAAACCTTTTGAGCTTGGCGTGTCAGCATTTTGAAAAACCCTAACTTAACTCTGGTGCCGTGTCACATATAGATATTTTTTGATATTTGCAACCATAGTAAAACAAAGATTTATATTTTTGATATTTATTTTATATATTTAAATGCCATTTAACAAAGAAAAATCAACCAAAAAAATGAGTTTGCGTGTCACCTTTGACACGCGTGTCATAGGTTCGCCATCACTGCCCTAGGAGATGTATCGGCAAGCATATTGCTAGGAGAGATGTTTGAAATTTTGCTGCCTATGGTTTCTTCTAGGATTTTTATGGTCTCATAACTTACATTTTAAGTCTTTTATCCATTTTGAGTTTGTTCTTTTTTAAAATATATTTTTATTGATTTCAGAGAGGAAGGGAGAGGGAGAGAGAATAGAAACATCAATGATGAGAGAGAATCATTGATCAGCTGCCTCCTGCATGCCCCCTACTGGGGATCAAGCCCACAGCCCAGGCATGTGCCCTTGACCAGAACTGAACCTGAGACCCTTTAGTCCACAGGCCAATGCTCTATCCACTGAGCCAAACCAGCTAGGGCTTGAGTTTATTCTTGTGTATGGTGTAAGCTGGTGGTATAGTTTCATTTTTTTTGCATGTACCTGTCCAATTTTCCCAATACCATTTTTTAAAAATATTTTTATTGATTTTTTTTACAGAGAGGAAGGGAAAGGGATAGAGAGTTAGACACATTGATGAGAGAGAAACATCAATCAGCTGCCTCCTGCACACCCCCCACCAGGGATGTGCCCGCAACCAAGGTACAGGCCCTTGACCGGAATCGAACCTAGGACGCTTCAGTCTGCAGGCCGATGCTCCATCCACTGAGCCAAACCGGTCAGGGCCCAATACCATTTATTGAAGAGACTGTCTTGACTCCATTGTATGCTCTTACTTCCTTTGTCAAATATTAAGAATAATGACAGGTTGATTTATGGGGGTCTCTGTTGTATTCCATTGATCTATAGGCATGTTCTTGTGCCAGTACCAGGCTGTTTTGATTACAGTGGCTTTGTAGTATTACTTGATATCTGGTATTGTGATCCCTCCAACTTTGTTCTTTCTGAAGACGGCTGTGGTATTCAAGGTCTTTTTGGCTCCACATAAATTTTGGAGTATTTGTTTTAGATCTGTGAAATATGCTATTGGTATTTTAAAAGAGATTGCATTGAATCTATAAATTGCTTTGGGTAGTATGGACATTTTATACCTAGAGAGTATTAAGCTAAGGAAAATAAGTCAGTCAGAGAAAGACAAGTATCACATAATCTCACTCACATGTGGAATCTAAAAAACAAAATAAACTGATGAACAAAATAGATCCAGAGGTATAGAAGTATAGAAAAGACTGTCAAATCACAAAGGGAAGGCAGGGGTGGGGTTGGGTGAGGGCTAGAAGGGGTCAGTGGGGGAAAAAGGGGAACATCTGTAATATTTTCAACAATAAAGAATTTTTTAAAACATTATCTTATAGTCCTGTGGACCCTGAGAAAGATGCCTACTAAGAAGGGCTCCTAGTAGCTAACTGGGCTCAAATTTTAAAAAACAAAACAAAAAACCCCTAAGGCCTAGCATCCATTTCTGTACAAGGGCCTCTCATGCAAACTGCACTTTAGGAAGAAGTCTACACTATACTACTGGCCTCTGCACTGAACTGCCTGCTGCATTGTTTCTGCCATTGGAGTTAGTCCTTATAAAGGAGTTCCTGAAATCGTATTTCAACCAACAAGACTAAAGTTTTCCCCATCCAACTGGAGCTGTGCAGCTGCAACCAATTAGAGGGCTCTATTCTGACCAATAGGACAGTACTTTTTGGACCAATCAAACTGTGAGGATTTGGAGTCTTCATTTGCATCAGGACAGACCAATCAAGGACCAGGGTCTGGAACTTCTGTCTATATAAGCTAGCTCCCCTCTGGCTCTAGAAGGCCTCCAAATACTGAGAACTGCATTTCCCTGGCTTCTCAGCAGAGAACACAGAGCAGACCAGTGTAGGCCAGAGCAGACTTGCACAGAACAGAGCAGACCAAAGCACAGCACAGCAGACTAGCACAGTGCAAAGCAGATGGCACAAAGCAGAGCAGACCATCAAGGAGCAGAGCAGAGCTGTCTAGCCAGAGAGGGGCCTGGCCCCAGAGTTGCCTCACAGTCTTGCTATATTCACAGCAGTGCTATATCACAATTAGCTGTTTTGCACTGATAAAATTTCCTTTTTCACCATACCCCAAATGGGGATTCCTGCTGGTACTGAATTAGCACTAATCCCTAGTAGCATGCTTAGAAGGACAAATGGACAGAGACTAGGATGTAACTATAACTTAATTTAGATTGCTAAAAATGGTAGATAAATTTTATTATTAATCAAGAACATGCCAATAAAATGGTTTAAGAAAAATTAACGTGTTTATGCAACCCTCCAAATAAAGCTTAATAAAATTAAATATGATCCCTATAGAACTTACTGTCCTTTGGCAAAACTGTAACACTAATGCCAGGATCACTAAGTTTGATGAAAGGAGGATTTCCTGTCTTCCTGTCTTCTTCTCTGATAAGTAGAATGTTTTTGGCACACACATTCCCATGAATAAGGTTTTTTTCTTCCTATTAGAGTAAAATATAAATACATTCAAATCTCAATCCACAAATATATGAACATTTAATATGTCTTAAGCCCCAAATGGATTTAAAAAAGAAAAAGAAAAAGAAGACTATTAATTAATAAACATTAATTTGGAGGTATGCTTTGAGATAATAAAAGGAAATTTTATAGCAACACTGTGCTTCCTGTTTTATATTTTAAATGACACAAAAATCTATGCCCAGAATAAAACAAATACATTAAAACTACCCAATGCCACTTCACTTTTAACGTTTAGATTTTAAGTAGTACCTATTTTTAGGTAGTAGCTGAGAGAAATACTATTTATTTTCAGCAGCAGAATATAGGTGTGCTCTGAGGGGTCTGATCCCTGGTTGGCCCTCTGGTATTCTGCTTCTCCAGAAATATTGCTTTCTTATTGGACATAATTTCTAATTGCCCACAAACACTACAACAAGGTATATTGTGAGTTTTCTGCTATCCATAGTTAGCAGATTTCTGCATAATTTTTTGTTAAATTCTTTAAACACAAGTGACATAAACCTTAGATTGTCATCAGTTCTAAGAGATTGGTGAAATGACAAAACTATATTAAAAGTTACTTTATATAAATAAATATATGCCTAAAATAATACCTTTCATAAAACAAACAGATGATTTTAAATAACTTAGCATCCATGCACAGACTTATTTCTTGTTCCCAGGTCAAGATCCTTTCTACATTGCTTCACTAAATAAAATACCTGATGAAGAATATACTGCCCTGGCTGGGTTTCCCAGTGGTTGGAGCATTGTCCCATACACCAAAAGGTTGCAGGTTCGAGCCTCAGTCGGGCATGTATGGGAGGCAGCCAATCAATATTTTCTCTTACATCGATGTTTTTCTCTCTTTCTCTCTCTCTCTCTAAAACCAATAAAATATATCCTTGAGTGATTTTTTTTATAGAATATACTAATTACTTACTAGAAAATGCATGGCCCATGCCAACTGTTTAGCCACTTCAAGTTTCCATAATATATTTATAGAATTTTTATTCTTTTTCAAATATGTATCTAGTGATCCAAATTTCACAAACTCCTGAACCAGAATATCTGCATTAAAATATAATAATGATAAGGCTCAAGTACACATACAATACAAAATATATATAATTTGAAACTTGTATAAATATATTATAGTTACCTGTGGGTATTATAGGAAAAGAGATTAAATTACATACAATTCACTAATTTAAAAAGCTAAACAGCTGCATACCATTCAGAAGTGGGGGGTTAGTTTATTCACAACTGCAAAAGGTAGGAATCTAAATTTTTTATACATAATATGCATTACACATAGTAATAAATAATAAATAATACATAGTAAAATATATGTACACAATACATGCAATATTATATATGTACATAAATATTTTATAATAATACACATTTTACACACCCCCACACATATAAAATATTACTTCAGCATACCTCTATGTGTCATCACTGAATTATGGCTGCTTTTTTAAAACAAATAAAAATGTCTCACATTATTAATTTTTCTTCCATGAAACTATTTAGACATTCAAAACTTCCTGAATTCTTCCACACACAAAAAATAATAACAATGTCTATTGTATTGGAGATATGAAGGATAATTTGAGTTTGAACTGCATCCATTCCTTTAATTTATGCTGTAAAAAATTGTTTTGCATTGCTTTATCTTTAAAACTATTTTTTTTAAATACTATTAAGATATATTTTTCCAGAGAAGCAAGTATTTGCTCTTAAAAAAAATGCTGACTGCCATTATGAAACAGTAAAATTTCCCTGTTAGTACTGACTTAGTTCCTGAAAGCCAAGACTGTTTCTACATAAATGCATGTTATTTAATAATTAACTGGGTTTAGGGTTTATTTACATTCTTCTAGTAATAATTTGTAATAGAGTAACCTTAAGTTCTTGATTTCAAATTTGAATTTATTGATATTTTGTTTTTTATCAAGCATAGTGTTGTCTTCAAAATTAAATAATGGAAAATTAAGATACAAAATAAAAACCACAAAAACTCAAGTAAAAAATTTTTAACATGGCACATTGTTATCCATGTCAGTTCATGGCCCAGTAAGTTATTAAGTGGCTGAACTTCATACATGCCTATATTTCATATATTTGCTTTAAAATGCATACTGTGGATCTAATCTCAAATTGTGATACTGCTTGATTTAATATTAAAATGACTTAGTTTTCATTTGGTATGTAATAATTGTTATTGACAAAAGTTGCCTTTGGACCTCGCTGAGTAACAGAAACAAACTTTGCTGCCCATAGGTAATTTGGAAAACAATCCACATATCAATAATTAAAAATTGAGCAATGTTACCCCAATAAATTTAATTTTAGAAAAATGCCTGCAGGAAAATTTGTCAGGGGAAATATCCAGAAAAAGATCTAGTAGCTGCAATGTTGCAATGAACAATAGCTTAATAAAATCTTTTTTATGTGGCATGTAAGACTTACTATTTTTCATAGATACCACAGATTATCATATGTCCCCTTATTTTATGTTATACAAGAAAAAAAATACCCATTAAGCTGAACATGCCATCAATTATATCACAGCTTCTCAATTTCAGATTTTTTTAAAATATATTTTTAATTGATTTTTTACAGAGAGGAGGGGAGAGGGATAGAGAGTTAGAAACAACGAGAGAGAAACATCGATCAGCTGCCTCCTGCACACCCCCTACTAGGGATGTGCCCACAACCAAGGTACATGTCCTTGATGGGAATCGAACCTGGGACTTTTCAGTCCGCAGGCCAACGCTCTATCCACTGAGCCAAACCAGTTAGGGCCAGATTTTTTTTTTTTTTTAATGAGAAGAGTACATCACAGAAACAATGGACTAAATATTAAAGCAAGTGCAAGAATTGGAATTATATGCTCTAAGTATATCCTCCCCAAGTGAAAAATTATGAGAAACATCAATAAATAAAAAGGATAAATACAGAACCACTCTAGTTGGTGTTAAGTGGGTAGAACTCTCCACTACTGCATTTAGATTTATAGTCATTTTATTAACTCCTCCGAAATACCTGAGGAACTTCCAGAAAACAGATTTGAAAGCTATTGCCTTTGAAAAGATTATCAATATTCAAATATATGAAGCAATGTTATATGAGTATGGATGCGTATCTAATCCGCATTACTAATTGAAAACAGGAATTACATAGAAAGTTTCTGAATGTAAACCTTGTAAGTTTTTATGAACAGTCTAAATTTACACATAGAATATATCTAATATCAGCATCTAATCATTTCAGTCAGTTTCATTCAAAATCAGTCTAGGCCTGGCCAGTGTGGCTCAGTTGGTTGGGCATCGTGCTGTACACTGAAAGGTTGCCGATTCGATTCCCAGTCAGGATTCATGCCCAGGTTGCAGGCTTGATCCGCAGCAGGGCATATGCAGGAGGCAGTTGATCGACGTTTCTCCCTCTCTCTCCCTTACTCTCTAAAAATCAATGAACTCTTTTTAAAAAATCAGTCTATAATTTATATGCTTTATCTTTATAATTCCAAATAAATGGGTACTGTACAGAAATGTCCAGTTATTCCATTATTATGTTAAACCAGCCATAATCTATAGGGTTGGGCAAAACTAGGTTTACAGTTGTTCGTATGGAAAAATAATACAATAATTAACAAATATACAAGAAAGAATAAACTCCGTTTAGAGTACTCACAACTATAAACCTACTTTTGCCAAACACTGTATATTATGGTAAAAGATTAGTAAACATTATTTATTATAAAACTCTACTGTTTAACATAAGCCATATTAACTATTTTCTGCATTTTAATTTCATTCATTGGTTTCCTTTTTTAGAAGGCTTAACTGAACAGCTCTACAATGTTTTTGGTTTCAATAATATTTAATTCCTGTTAAAGTATGGTTTATACTGATACATAACTATGATCCTGAAAATGAATTTTCTATATAAAAAAAATGGATGTACTGAGAAAGGCATAACATTAACATAAAGAAGCCAGAGATTTACTTACTCTCCTCTCCACAGACACATACTCCATAATTTAAAACCAGATGTTTGTGAGAAAGCTGGCTCATCATGCTTGCTGCTTCAAAGAAAGACTAAGGAAAAGAAAACCATACAAAAATGCAAAAGAATTATTGTTTGTGCCTATACGTATTCACAGTTCAGAAAGATATTCTTTGGCGGTGCAGTGGTTCTCAACCTTCCTAATGCTGAGACCCTTTAATACAGTTCCTCATGTTGTGGTGACCCCCAACCATAAAATTATTTTCGTTGCTACTTCATAACTGTAATTTTGCTACTGTTATGAATCGTAATGTAAATATCTGATATGCAGGATGTATTTTCATTGTTTGCGACCCACAGGTTGAGAACCGCTGGTAGAGAAATGCACTTTCTCCTCTTCTCTGCAGAACTATATATGTAAGGCTACAATGTGCTTTGGTCCCCTTATATGGTCTTGCAATGCCATCAATCTTAATGCTAGAGTTCACTCTGAAGAAACCCCTAAATAAGGCTGGAATAGAAGATAGCAATGGAAAAGAGCAATAGTGACACAAGGCAGCATGAATGATGGAAGATACACAGGCTTAGATTCATGACACCTAGAGTAGAAGACAGAGGTACAAACAGAAGTAGACACCAGAGATAGTGATATGAGATTCAAGTAAGTGGATGGGAGCTTCAAATAACACTTCCTAAGGAATTGGAATGTACACCTGGAACTAATATAGTGTATGGCAACTGTAATTGAAAATTAAAATGATTTAAATTTAAAATAAAAAATTTTTAAGTAAAAAAACATTATCTCTGTGCATATAAAATATCATGACAACTATGTTGGGAGATTAGCATGGTATTAACATCACTCTAACTCAACTAAACTTTGACTAGAACTTCTGGCTATTACTGTTGAGAATCATATTCACCAACACTGTGGTGTTCTGGATTAGAACAACTCTTTGACTTGTATGTTTCACATCCTCTTCTTACTAACATCCTTTAAGATATTTTAAACATCACAAATGTTTGGTGATGCCGTGCTATGCTAAGAACTCAGGCAAATAGCAGCTGGGTTTCTGCGGGCTAGTATCTCTGTAATCTGTATTTCAACTAGAATGTTTCTTAGTACAAACTTTTTTTAAAAATTGATTTTTAGAGGGAGAGGAAAAGAGAGAAAGAAACATCAATGTGAGAGCAAAGCTTCAATCAGTCTTCTGAACACCCTCCACTGGGGATCAAGCCCGAAAAAGGGGTATGTGCCCCAACCAGGAACCAAACCAGTAACCCTTCAGTGCACAGGATGATGCCCAACTAACCGAGCCACACGGACCAAAGCTAAACTCTCTCTTTTTATTTTTAAGTAGATGACATTATGAAAGAAATCTGTGGAGCCCATAAAGCTCTGGGAACCAAGTCTGAAAACCACTGCCTCAGTATATGCAGAGACATAATGATAGCCTTAACACAATGCCAAAGTAGTTTTAAAATGTTATTATAAAAATCCTATATAATAAAGCCCTAATATGCAAATCGACCAAATGGTGGAATGACCAGTCGCTCTGACGTGCACTGACCACCGGGGGGCAGACGCTCAACGCAGGAGCTGCCCTCTGGTGGTTAGTGTGCTCCCACAGGGGGAGCGCTGCTCCGCCAGAAGCTGGGCTCATGGCTGGCGAGCGCAGCAGTGGAGTGGCAGGAGCCTCTCCTGCCTCCGCAGCAGGACTAAGAACCCCTCAGGGGATGTCCGTCTGCCGTAACCTGGCAGTCGGACATCCTCTGAGGGGTCCCAGACTGCAAGAGGGCTCAGGCCGGAACCCCCACCCTCCAGTGCACAAATGTTGTGCACCGGGCCTCTAGTATTCTATAATTTTCTATAGCCACACTAGAAGGCCATCCTCAGAAAGGTCCTTGATATAAACTTTTTAAAGTTACAATTTTGAAAAGCTGCAAGCATGATGTGTTGTGTGCATATTAAGACCACATCTTTAAATATTGCAAACTATATAAACTACACAAAGAGTATACATACCTCTGAATAGTTTCTATGTGCTTTATCCAGAACTTTTAAAAGAACTTCTGTTTCATGCAGTTGACCATAATCTCCTACTTCTCTTCTTACACCTTTAAAAATTTTTGTAAAAGTGCCTTGGCCAAGACTTTCATTCTTTAAAAGAAAGAAAGAAAAGAAAATAATGAGTAAAGATAGATAAAGATGTGAGAATTAGGAAATATGTTCAATGACAAAGAGTAAAAAAAAAAAAATCCATGAGCAAATTTCTCCCAGATTTAAGCTCCGAATTAATTATATTCTGCTTCCTTATACAATAATAGAAGACAAAAAAATAAGGATTAATGAATAAAGTGTATTTTGGTTCCACCCATTCTTAAACCCCCTAGATTGGCTATAATTATCACCTATATTTACCTACATTTTTTTATTTACCTACATTTATTTACATGTGAAATTTTGTTGTTGTTGTTGCCTTTCCTAATAGTGCAGTAGAATGGCAGTACAGTATGGTCTGTGGAGGCAGCATATCTGACTTGTTCCATATTACCTACTACCTTCTAGTTGTTTGACCCTCTACAGACAGTCCTTGGGTTACGTCGCACTTGACGTCATTTCGTGGTTACGTTGCCATCTCCCATTTATTTATAAAAAAAAGAGTTCTGTCATTTCGACGAATGTACATATGTGCTTTGTTTTATATTATTAATTTACCACAAGGTCAGGAATTGTTATCTTTCTTTTAATTTTTTTTTTTTTACTGTTTCACTTCATCACTGCTGTGTATGTGCTCCATGTGAGTGACGTAGGTGCTTATGTAGGTGGGTTCCGACTTACAGTGAAAATCGCATTACGTCTCGCCATAGGAACGGATCTCCGACGTAACCCGAGGACCTACTGTACAGGCAATTTAATCTCTTTCTGCTGCAGCTGTCTTTTCCTCATTGGAGGAATAGGAATAACTATTTTTCCATAGATTGTTATGAGCAATAAGTGAATAAATACATGAAAGCACTTAGTATAGTCTATGACACATAGTAAATGCTCAATAATTAGCCTTTACTAGTATTTCTTATACATCCTTCCAGAGTAATTGTTGAAACCCTGAACTCTGAAGCAGGGCTGCCTATGTTCAAACTGAAAGTCTACTATTATTAGTTTTATTAATGAGGTTACCTGGTGACTCTTTGCTTCCCATTACCTGAGGATGTCTTTACAATTCTTGATAATTATGTCTACTGTCTCTTTATGGAACTTGGACATCAGTGATCATTTTCTTACTCATTCTGCTCAACATGAAAATTTTTCAGATCTCTCTTCCAATTCACTATCTTTTCAACTAAAGGTAATCTGCTTATTAACCTGTTCATTTTGTATCACTGTCAATGAGTGTGATTTTCCATTTCTATATTTTTCTTCTCTAAATACTTGTTCTTTTTAAAAAGTGTCTTGTTTTTTCCCCATGCTTCCATTGCCTTTTATATCTTTAAAAATATGTATTTTATTGTAGGGCACGGCTATAGGGTTAAGCCTCGGACTGACCTGTTGGCAAAGTCACAAACAAGTCCCAGCTTAGAGGGCACAGTCCTCTTAGCATAATTAGGCTTGACCTTATGATGCTCCCTAGATCTTATCTGGGTAGCTAATGGGCTGAGGGAGGTGCAGCAAGTGCTGCCAAAACAAGTGAAACGCAAAAGAACAGTGTAACTATGGTAACCACTACCTTGTTTACCTCTGGCTATAAAATAAAGGCTCAGCTTGCCTCTGGATCTCTCTCTGTGGGCTCAGCCAGGCACAGGAAGATCCACCTAGAGACCCAGCTTATTCTCTTTGTCATTTTCTCCATTATCACTGCCCTCACTCAGGCTTTCGAACCCTTGGCTGAACTGGCTCGGCACATTTTATAATCTCTTTCTAAAAATCTGTTATATGAAATACTTTGATGTTTGTTGGTCTGCTTACTCTTGGTTACTCTAGGGCTATTTCCCTTTTAATTTTTTCAATTAAAAGCTCATGCTTGGCCCTAGCCAGTTTGGCTCAGTGGATAGAGTGTCGGTCTGGACTGAAGGGTCCTGGTTTGATTCCAGTGGGGGGGCAAAAGGGGCAGGGGTACATACCTCGGTTACAGGCTCCCCTGCTGCCTGGGCCCAGGTCGGGGCACATGCAGGAGGCAACCAATAGATGTGTTTCTCTCTCATCAATATTTCTGTCTTTCCCTCTCTCTTCCACTCTCTCTAAAAATCATGGAAAAATATCCTCGAGGGAGGATTAAAAAAAAAAAAAAAGCTCATGTTTGGAGTCATTTCATCAGTAGACTTCTGAGTGAGCAAGGTTAAGAGTATGTTCTTCCAAAAAGATTTTGTTTCTGCTTCTGCCAAGCACTACAAGGTATTACTAGGGGAATATCATTTTTTATTTTAATTATTAGCTTAGATCAGGCGGGTGGTATAAACCCAAACTCAAAAGTCTATGATTACAAATTCTCAGGAGAGACATTTTTTCCTAAGAGCCCACCTAAAACAACACTCTCTTCCCCTTTTGCTAGTGGGTGAATTTTTTACAATCCACATATTGTTTTACTGAGAATGTATTTATTTGAAGGTCCTGGCTTTATTCAGACATGGCCTCACTTTTAACTCCTGCTCTTCTGTAGGCCTTAAGACTTGGCCCTACTTTTAGATCTTAATCTACTTGATTAGTGAGACTAATCCCAACCCCCAACATCATTCTATAGCCAAACCATCAGATATTATGTACTATTTTATTTTCAGTTTCTTTCTTATTTTTAATCCCTTGAATTTCCCTTACTTTCTCTACAATTTGAGAATTAAGATATAGGTCTTTTGTAGAAGAAGATTTTTAATTTTTAATTTAAGATTTATAAAGAAATTTTTAAAATCCTGTAAAAAAGTACAATTCCCTTCTTAAAATAATATTATTAATTTCTCACTCAAGTTTGGTATTACACTTTCACAAGAAATAAAAATATTTAAAGTGCAAAAAATTTTAATATAGATTATAATAAAATACTTCCAAATGTCACATGAATATAAGTGGGAAACATTTGTTATTTTAAAAGGACAAGAAAGACCATAATCAGCATCTAATGACTTACAAATACTAAATCTTCATTTCTGATTTTGTGAAACACCATTTGGTTCACATTATTATGTCTCTGTAATGTTGGTGAGGTTGGTACATCAGAAACACTATTTGTTCTAAAGACTAGAAGGTTTGATTTATCTGTAAAAGAAAAAAAAGAAATAATGAAAACATATATAATCAAAACATGCTGAGGACATAAAATTCTCCAAAGGGGTAAAATAAAATGTGTTCTAAATATAAGAAATGCTTAATAAGTTTGACTGTTCATTTTTTTCCATAGAAAATTATTTTAGCAGTTTATTCACTGAACTTTAATGTACCTTAACCAGTTATTTCAAATATTCAAAATTATTCACTTTCATAACTAATATAAATTTTCAGGAATTTTAATAACTTTTAATAATCATTATTTCACGAGATTTCCAACCTTACTATTTTTATTTTAAAAGTATAAGAAATTATAGTGTTTACTTAGAACCACATATGAGAATTTGGTAGTGAGGTCTTTCACTTCAATTAATAAATGATTGATTTATATCAAGCATTATTATTTTTAATATCATTTTAGAATTATAGAACTTCATGTCACTTCTAGAAAACCCAAACCAAACTGAACAATCCTATTTGAGGACATATTTATAAAGAAGGAGGCAAAATTAATCTGCTTATGGAGCTGCTTCTTTCATTTTTTTTTTAAATCAATATACTAAAGATATCACTCACTATACACACAAGCCATGACCCATATTTTTAAAATAACTAGAAAATTATTTTACCTTTTGGCTTTGGAGGACAGCATTTTGTAAACTGGAAAATTATATTGTCTGAGCGAACAGTTTCCATCTGGTAGCAATTCAAAAGATCTTTAAGATTACTGAAGTTCTTCTTAGTCCCACTGAGGTTGTATTCTCCATTCTCATTTTTTGTAATCAGACAGTGCTTATATTCAATGACATTATCACGCTATATAAGTTTAATTATAAAGAGAGAGAGGGGAAATCACAATGGACATCATAGTGATTACTATTACAAAATGGATTTCACAAAACTAACCAACAAAATATTTAGACATTTGAATCATGAATCCTAGTATAGTACCAGAGTAGGGTAATAGAGGTGCTTGATTCCTCAGAAAGAACTATATTGTATAGGCTAAAGAAATGGCTTAAGAGTTGACTTTATTTTTTAAAAAGCAATGATAATTAACAATAATAATACCATCCTTAACAGTTTTCCATCACTTATAAGATAAAGTCTATAACCAATTTAGTGTATAAGGTGTTCCTTGAGCAGGATTCTGCCTCCATCTCCAATCTCAACTTCTGCCAATTACAAAATACAGCCTATGTTCTGGCTATATTGTGACTCAAAAAATTCCAAGCAAGTGCCATGCTATTTCATGATAACTGTACATGCTCTCTCTCTACCTATAAATGTACATGTTTTCTTTCTGAGCAATGGACTTTTATTCATTCCTAAAACTTAGTTCAAGTACCACTTCCTATGAGGTCCTCCCTATAACTCTCACCACATTCCACAAAGGTCATTCCCATTCCACTGTGCCACTACTGTATTTGTGTAATTGTCTCCAATATGGGAATGTTAATATTTTTCAGTTTTTCAATGTCTGTCTTATGTGCTTGTTCATTAACAAGTTTGTTCATTCATCTATTTTTTGAGTGGCTTCTTAATAAGCATATTCAACCTATTTAGGACCATTTGTATAAACTCAACTAAATACTTCAAGGTCAATCTCAAATCCTTCCTACTCGAAAAGATCTTTAACTGTATTTTCTGTTGTTGTCTATGCCTATACTATATAATAAAGAGCTAATATGATAATTAGACCAAACAGAACGAACATCCGGACATCCTTCAGGATGACTGTCCGGAGGACCTTTGGGAAGAAACCAGGGCTGCAAGAGCCGGCCGAGGCTGCGAGGGGCTGTGAGGGCCTGCAAGGGCTGGTCAAGGCTGCAAGGGGCTGTGAGGGCCGGCCGAGGCTACGAGGGGCTGCGAGGGCCTGCAAGGGCTGGTCAAGGCTGCAAGGGGCTGTGAGGGCCGGCCGAGGCTACGAGGGGGCTGCCAAGGCTGGCTGAGGCTGCAAGGGGCTCCAAGGGCCGAGCCCCTTGCACAAATTTCGTGCATCAGGCCTCTAGTACTGAATAATTACAATGCTCAATTTAGTAAATTTTTTGTATTCTTTCTTCTTTTTTCTTAAAAGACAAACTTCTTGAAACAGGGCTATGTAACATACATTCCCTAATACATAACAATATATTCATTTTGATTTGGTAATTGAATATAATGAGCTACTATAATTTCAGTGAGAAAATATTGTGAAATTAGGATAGAGCATTTTACAATACTAAACTTGTAGAGTAACCTACCTTCTGTTCTTATGGACAATAAATCCACTCTGCATATGCTAAATATAAGATAACAACTGTATTTTATAAAACTTAAAATAACTGAATAACAAAATCCTTACTTTCTATATTTTAAAAAACAAGATAAATTTGGGAAGCTAATATAAAGTTTTTCAAGATTTATACCATGAAACTGCCTTATAAGTGATACTATCTTTTTAGATAATTTTGGATTGTAAACAATCTTAGATGGCATACAAATAATCTGCATTAAGAGTGAGGTTTCACCGTTAGAGCATCGTCCTGATATGCCAAGGTTGCAAGTTCAATCCCTGGTCAGGGCACATACAAGAATCGACCAATGTTGCATATAAAAGTGGAACAACAAGTTGATGTTTCTTTCTCTTTAAAATCAATCAATAAATAAATAATTTTAAAATGTTTTTAAAAAAATGAGGTTTCATTGTAGTTTTAAGCTTAAAACATACATTGTAGATTGTCATTCTTAATATTGAAAGAGGTTAGCCCTGGCTGGGTGGCTCAGTTGACTGGAGCATTTTACATCAAAAGGTTGCGGGTTTGATTCCCGGTCAGGGCACACACCTAGGTTGCAGGTTCAATCCCCGGTGGGGCGAGTAAGGGAGGCAAACAATGAATGTTTCTCTCTCACATCGATGTTTCTCTCTATCTCTCTCTCTCTAATCAATAAAAAAACATTCTCAAGTAAGGATTTTTTAAAAAGAAAAAAACCCACCACTAGCTAAAAGTTCAATAATGTTTGTTTCTTTGTTATTACCTTATTTCACTCTAATCTTATAAACATTACTAGTAAAAGGAAAGTTTACTTCTGATTTATTATGTTCTATATGTTTTGGTAAAGATTTCCATCTTTCTGAAAAAAGAGACTTTAAGAGAATTGATGCAGTATGAAACCGTTGTAACACCCAAACTCCAAAAAATAAAGTAAAATAAAGTCTACATTAAAAGACAGAAGGACATTATAAATCATTTTATATTTTACATAAATCCTAGGAATTATAATTTATTATACATGCAGGATCCCTGGGGTAAATTAAATATTATTATGCTAGCTATATCCAGAGCTATAATTCAGAGTATTAAAAAGGAAATATATATGGTACCTAAACATGAAGGGGAAATTATATAAACTAAATAAAGATGTTACTGTTAATGAATGTGACATACTAACCTCGACAGCAAAAGTCAAAAAATATTTATTAAACTCCTTAGGACTGCATCGAAGTACATAAAGTCCAGTCTGATTACCTGCTTTCTTCAGTTTACTTATGGCAAAATCCATTCTAAACATAAAGAAGTAATGTGAATGATAACATAGCAAGATATCATCTAAAAGATCAAAAGTCAAATCTAAAATTCAGAATTTTTAGAAGTCTCCTCTACTTTGTAAGTTTATCAATAATCTTGTAAGGAAAAATATTAAGTTCAAACCAATTCAAGGGACAATTATATTGCTTTAAAAACAAATCAACAGCATTAGAGGACACACAAAATCACAAAGAACACTCATTTATTTGAATTTTCTGCCTTCTGATTGCAAACTTAGTATTTTAAAAACAATACTCTCATAAAACTTCATTTATGCAAACAATATATCATAAACATTTATGTCTCTTCTACCATAGCAATTTCTAATATAAAAATTTATGTGCATTATTTTAACATTTAATATAATCCAAAGTCTACTAGAAGACCAATTGCAAGTAACAAGGACTACTGAGTTTTAAAATCTGCTATATGCTTTATCGAAGCTGCACGTCTTGAAAGAAAAATCAAAATGTAATCTACATGAAAGCAAGAATCATCTATCACTATCTCGTAACACACCTAGGCAACTCAAATTATACAAATAAGAAGTATTGTCGATTGAGATACAGGTAATAAATTATATCCTAAATAATTCTAATTATTATTTATATCTTATTGTAAATAGACTTTTATTACAAAAAAACTTCAGTTAAGTTCTTTTTTTCTAAACTCCTAAACCAGTGATGGCGAACCTATGACACGCATGTCAGAGGTGACACGCGAACTCATTTTTTTGGTTGATTTTTCTTTGTTAAATGGCATTTAAATATACAAAATAAATATCAAAAATGTAAGTCTTTGTTTTACTATGGTTGCAAATATCAAAAAATTTCTGTATGTGACATGGCACCAGAGTTAAGTTAGGGTTTTTCAAAATGCTGACATGCCAAGCTCAAAAGGTTCGCCATCACTGTCCTAAACCTATGTACATCACTCTGTTGTATAAAACCTTTTTTGTAAATATTTCATTTACTATTTTAAAAATTTACTTCTAGCTCTAGCAGGTTTGGCTCAGTGGATAGAACGTTGGCCCGCAGACTAAAGGGTCTCAGGTTCAATTCTGGTTGTAGGCTCAATCCCCAGCCCTAGTCAGGGCACGTGTGGGAGGCAACCAATGATGTGTCTCTCTCACATCTCTCTCTCTCTCTCCCTCTCTCTCTCAAAATCAATGGAAAAATATTCTCAGGTGAAAATTAACAACAATAAAATTTAATTTTAAACTATGTTTTACTTACGAAATTGGGCCATGACAATTGCTTTGTATATTTTCAAGCACCACTGGAGATGCTACTTCTTTACAGAGGTAATGATGTGCATCTGCAGTTAATCTATAATATCCATCAATTAATGACACAAAAGACAAAGCCTCCTTTAATGAAATAAGTTCAATTTCCTAAGCAGAGAAAAGAAAAAAAAAAGTATTTAAAAAGTCAACTGCATCCTACATATTGAAAATTCTCTTTGCTCCATGTTGTTAGATTAATTCTCCTAAATTTTTTTCCACATTGCTCAAATGTCTTTTATGGCCCAATTTGAATTATAAATTATTCTAATATTTAAGATGCTCTTAAATATAAGCTTATTATGCCTTTCCAGTTATAGTTCACTCTACATCCATAATTTTACTATATTTTCCAGTATCCCCATTAGAAAAATGCCAGTTATCTCAATTAGAAATCTATCTAATCCAATATAAAGGTTGGAATTAGAAATAATGATTTATTTTTACATACCAAATATACACTGCTAAGTTAAAGTACTTATGCTATAAACTAAAATGTATACAATATAAACTTAAATCATATATAGTCTAGTAGGGAGTAGGTGCACACTATTAATCATATTTTTATCTAAGAACAGGAAAGCTTGCTGACTAAAATGAGTTGCAAGTTAATTATAATTTTGGTAATATAAACCTGAACTGGCCAGAGAGGTACATACAGATACTTAAGTTAAATAATCAAATAACACTAATATGACATTTAAGCCAGGAGGTTAAGAAATATCTGAGCTGAAAACAGAACCACATAAATAAGACATTTAAGAGCAGGATATAAAAGAGTGTATTTCTTTTTCATAGAGGAGGGGCATATAACAGAAACAGAATCACAGTTGTTTAATAACTACTCACCATAAAAAAAATAAAAGATTTTCTTACCGACCCTGGGAAACTGAAGCACATGTTACAAGAAGAACAAGCCCGGGAGATAACGCATCCCAGCGACCAGATCAAGGACAGAACCTATCTGAAGGGAGGCAGCATTTGGGGCTAATCTTTACAAGAACAAGGAAAAAAGGCAGTCCCTGGGAACTCACTAACTAAAGATTTTTCCCACCCACTAAACCTACAGAAGAGTTCATTTGAAATGAAAGGTCGGAGAGCAGGATATTCAGGATGACCTGCTGCTTTCTCAATACTGCCAGCATTATTGGAATAAACGCTTATTAGTATACTAGAGGCCCGGTGCACAAAAATTTGTGCACTCGGGGGGGAGAGGGGATCTCTCAGCCCGGCCTGTGCCCTCTCGCAGTCTGGGACCCCTCAGGGGATGACCACCTGCTGGCTTAGGCCCGCTCCCCAGGGGATTGGGCCTAAGATGGCAATCAGACATCCCTCTGGCAGCCCGGCAGCCCTCGGGGGATGTCCACTTGCCAGCGGGGAGCAGGCCTAAACTGCAGTTGGACATCCTTAGCGCTGCTGAGGAGGCGGGAGAGGCTCCCACCACCACCGCTGTACTGGCAGCCATCAGCCTGGCTTGTGGCTGAGCAGAGTTCCTCCCATGTGAGAGTGCCCTGACCACCAGAGGGCAGCTCCTGCAT